AACAGCCTCTCGGATGCGTAACTGCAGAGGCACAGCCCAGTTTAAGTACCTGCTTAACAGAGCAAAGTACGAGACTCAGAATGACACACAAACATTTGCACACAGCCTCTGGGTTTTATTGCTGTAAGCTGATGAGTTGTGGAGAGAGAGAGAGAGAGAGAGAGAAGGATGGTAGGAAGGAAGGAAAGAAGAAAAGAAAGAAAGAAGAGAGAAAGAAAGGGAGGGAGGAACAAAGAGAAAGAGGGAAAGAAAAAGAAGGAAAAAAGAAAGGGAGGAATAGAAGAGAAAGAAAGAGAGGGAGGAAGAGAAAGAGAAAGAAAGAAAGAAAGAAAGAAAGAAAGAAAGAAAGAAAGAAAGAAAGAAAGAAAGAAAGAAAGAAAGGAGGAAGGAAGAGAAGAAAAGAAAGAAAGAAAGAAAGAAAGAGAAAGAAAGAAAGAAAGAAAGATAGGAGGGAGGAAGAGAAGAGAGGGAAAGAGAAGGAGGGAGGGAGAAAGGAAGAAAAAAGAAAAAGAAAGAAGGGAGGGAAGGAGAAAGGAAGGAAAAAGAAAAAGAAAGAAAGGAAGGAGGGAGAAAGGAAGGAAAAAGAAAAAGAAAAAAGAAAAAGAGAGTGAGAACAAACACAGGAAGAAATTATGCATAAAAACACCCAAAGCTGGACTAAACAAGAGGTTGCAATCTTTCAATAACAGGTTGCAAATGGCTCTCCCGAAGACAAATAGCTTGACTGACCAGCTTAGGAACATGGAAAGAGGAAGAAAAAGAGATTTCAGGAAGACGTCAAACAAGGAAAACAACTTTTAAAGGGAGATTTTTTTAAAAAAAAGAGAAACAACCACTTCAGTTAAAAACCTCATGGGACAGGTCTCTGCATCGGGACAGGTGACGGAGAAGCAGACGGGCTTCGTGGTTAGCAGGCAAAAACAGCAAGCGCTACCAGTGGAAGGGGGACAAGGAGGAGAAAGGACGTGTTTCGGGAAATAGAGCTGTTTTTAGGGACCACAGGAAGGACAAAGCTAAGTATATGCCATAAAACAGATGACAGTCATACCGTAATTACCTGCTGTAAGATGACAGCAACATGTCACTTACATTTGCAGGGTGACATACGTGCAAATTGTTCTCCCTGCTCATTAAAATATCCGGTTGCTGATTGCTTGTTAGGGAGGAGGACTCTGGACACGAAGAGGAAATAATCTCCACCCCTTGGGGGGGGGCAGGGGGGTGCAGGGACGTAGTATAGGACAGACTTCAAGGTTAAAATTGAATTTCAAGGAGAGAGGGATGATATCAGAGAGAGAGAGAGAGGGAAAGAGGGAGAGAGATACATATAGATATAGACAGACAGATAATAAGACAGACGATAAAGATAGATATGAATGGAGACAGAGAGGCATGATACCTTAGATAGAGATGATACTGATAGATACATAGACAGATAGATACGAATGGAGAGCGAGAGACAGAGATGTACCTTAGAGACGAGAGAGAGAGAGAGAGAGAGAGAGAGAGAGAGAGAGAGAGAGAGAGAGAGAGAGACACTAAGGGGGGTGAGAGAGGGAGGGAAGAGAGAGAGAGAGAAAGAGAACGGCTTTGCCAAAATCACACCCGCTTTTTTTTTCTTAGCATCCTATTTATCTGAACAGAAGACTGTCTAACCTCAAAGTCCTTTTCTCTGCCATCTGGAAAACCCATACAGGAAACCCTCCTTTATTCTGGTTTCCCACCCCGCTGCTTTCTTTCTTTTTTTCCCTTCCTTCCTTCCCCAGCTCGCTAACCTACAATAAGCACCTTGGGGAGATTTGAAAGGCAAAGGTGTAGGGAGCGATTGCGGATCTTTTATTCCACACACACACACACACACCCCCAAATGGAGGATTTGACAAGCCACTCCATCATGAGCGGAGCCTTAAAGAGGGAGGGTGAGAGTGGGAAGGGTCAGGCACGTTTGTTTTTTTCCCACCCCGCCTTGCTGGGAACACAAAAGCCTTGGGGTCCTTTAAAAGGAGGGCAGGTTGGATAAATATGCCAAGAGGCTCGAGACGCCGCTCCATCAGAGGCACCAAGCCTTCTGTCCTATCTCAGCCGGCAGGTGCACCAAAACACACACACATCTTTCGTCATCCTTTCTAAAGGTGGGGGAAAGAAAAATCCCTTTTGCTTTTCCTCCACAAATTCTACTCTCTGCGAAGGATCGCTTTCTTTCTCTATTCAGCCCACCTTCAGCGTAATATGTTTCCACACAGGCAGAGGCATCGGCCGTGCTATATTCTCTTTGGGGGGGGCAACCACTAGAGGTAAACGTACCGATCAATAACCGACAGAATAAAAATAAAATGCAACAGTCTTTTTTTTTTTTTAACAGGTACGTCCCAGTCATTGTTTCCCTTTATTCTCAGTTCTCCAAACACCTCGATCACTTTTTCGTGCATTCTCTCATCTCACAGCCACCCAACCATTGGGGATGTTTAGACTAGATAGGTAGGTAGGTAGGCAGGTAGGTAGGGAGAGAGAGAGAGATTTTTTCTCTCTCTCTTCCATGATTATCTTTCACTGGAACATAGCACTATCCACTTTCAACAAGCAAGGTGGTATCAATTCATGTACAGACATTTAATTTGTATTTAAACCTACACCCTCACTTGCTGCAGAGATTCATCAAAAGTACAGGACCAGACGACCTACCTTCAGATACAGATATTTCCTTTTTGGCTTACTTTCCCAAAAAACAGCATCTTGTCCTTCTTTCCTTCCTTCCTCCTGTCTTTCCGTTCCTTTCTTTCCCTCCTTTCTTTCCTTCATACCTCAATTTCCTTCCTCTCTCTCTTCTTCCCTCTCCTGCTCCCTTTTTTCTCCTTCCTTCCATCTCTCCCTCCCTTCCTCCTGTCTTCTTTCCTTTCCTTTCTTTCCCCTTCTTTCCTCCCTCCCTACATTTTCCCTCTTCTCTCCCTCTCCAGCTCTCTTCTCTTTCTTTCCTTCTGTCCCTTCCTCGCTCCTTTCCTTCCTTCCTCACCCATTTTCCTCTCTTTCTCTTCTGCTCTCTCTCCTTCCTTCTGTCCATCCCTTCGTTTTCCTTCCTGCTGTCTTTCCTTTCCTTCCTATTTTCCTTCTCTCCCTTCTTCCCTCCCTCCATTCCTCCCTTCCTGTCTTTCCTTTCCTTCACTCCTTTCTTTCCTTTCCTTCACTCCTTTCTTTCCTTACCTCCCTCCCTGTTTTTCTTCCTTTCCAACCCCCTCCTTCAATCCCTCCCTCCTTCCTTCTCCTGCTCTCCTTTCCCTCCCTATTAAATTCTCTCCATGGAGTCCCCACCTACTGCAATTCCTAATCTTCCCTATACCAAGGTCATAAAAAAAAAACCTGGCCCCCGTATACACCTTGGTTGCCATTTGCCCCTCATGCCTCAAGTAATCAACGCTTTCACCCAGCACTTGGAGCAAGCCAGAGAAGACCATTATCAACCTGATTTGTAGCTCTATCATACGCAGCCTCCTCTGCTAATAATAAAAGCAATCGTGAATAGTTGGGGCACATTTTGGCCACAGATACAACCAACAACCAGCTTTATCCCCAGCACGCTCTCACTAGGCTGTGCAAGCTACGATAGCTTAACTAAAGATTCAAAATACTGTTCAGTATACTTATTAGACTTATACTTATCTCGATATATTGTCCCCTCCATAGTGTCCAAGTACATGCAGTGTAACTACGCTACTAATAAAACAGATAATTAGAAATCAGATTTTTGGGGGGAGAGATCGCACAGGATTGCATGATACAATATTTATATTCTCTACAGACATCCCATCTCTTCTTGTCCAAATTCTAAAATAAAAATAAAAATAGAAGCCAGGTAGATTCAATGAGGGGCTGGGGACAATGAGAGGGGGAAAGGGGGTGCATATAAATTTGCTAAATAAACATAGATTATTCCCCTGATTACAGATTTTCTCGCTTTTCTTTTTTTTCTTTTGATCTCTCTTAATGACCATCTTGGCAAACATCAAAGCCTTCCTCCTGATTTATATTCTCCTGGCTTTGCTCCTTTGCACAAATGATGTCTTTTCACAGGCTGAAAGCTCACATCCAGCCTGTTCAAATCACACACCCCCATCAGGCACTGAATAGCGAAGGATTGTAGTCTGCAGAAGCCAGCCTTTTGAAACAAAATCCCATCCAAATGCTGTTTTTAAAAAAATAATCCGCTATTTATTTGTCAAATTTATATGCTGCCCATCTCATTCTCCCCAGAAAGGATCATTTTTATCTGGTGGGAGAAAATACTATGAAATCTCATGCCTCCCCCGCCCTCCCCAAAAGCTGGTTTATAGTAGCATGCATCCAGCCACTATTTGAAACACTATCCAAATTCTGCCATTTAAAAACGATCCAAATCCTAATCAAAATATTGACAAACTATCCAAATCCTATCCAACTGCAATTTAAATTGCAGGTGCATAGGATTGGGATAGTTTAAATTGAGATTTAAATGATCCAAATCCTATCCGACTACTGAAAAACGATCCAAATGCAATGAGTAAATAGATAAAATACACTCAAAAACATTTCTTTCTTTAAGGGACCGAGCACTTAAAAAAAGCACCCTATTTAATAATCCTAATAACAACCAGAGATTCATGGGTGGATTTTTTTATTTTATTTTTTTAAATGCCAAATCCAGTCTAAAGATCTGGCTGGCTGTGCGACGAACCACAAACAATAAAAAAATAATACCTTTGTAGAATTGATACGGCCTCCCACTCATTTTCAATGACTCTTAGGAGGCTAAATCATCCAATCGGATTTTATTTTTATTTATTTATTTTTTAAAGGGAATTAAAGCTCGGAAATTCAAGATGCCCAAATCATATGCAGAGGAGAAATGCAAGACGGGGAGAAAAGAAAGACACCCCCAAATGAAGAAGGATGCCGCCCCACTCCAAAAAGGACCGCCTTTAAACCCCCACCCCCAAATAAAGGACACTGCACGCAGGCGTTGCTCTCACCTCCGCGGTGGGAGATGTGCCGGCACCGAAACCGGTGGCGTTTGCGCCGGTGGAGCAAGCCGGGAAATTTCAACAGCAGAACGGAGGTGAGGAGATAGCCGATCAGTGTGGTGAGGAGGTAGAAAACGGTCGACATGGCCGCGCCGAGAGCGACCCACCGCACGGACGACCGACAGCCTCGCCTCCCCCGGCCCTTCTGCAAGCCGGCAACCCGAGGAGACTCGCCACCACGCGGCGCCCCGCCCACTCCGTCTGCCGCCGCCACCAATGGCGGAGGGGCAGGAGGAAGCGCGAACGCTTTCGCGAAGCCGATTGGCCGGCGACAAGGACGCCGGGGGGGGGGAGGGGGCGGAAATTAGCTGGGCGGCCGCGGCTTGCAGTCGGAAAGAAAGAAGAAACGGGGGGCGCGGGGAGGGGGGGAGCGCGTCACTTAGCGGGTGACGTCAGAGCGCTTGGCCAAGCGGAGAACGGAAGTAAAGGTTGCTTAGCGGCGGACGCGATGGGGAACCGCCCCTCTTTCCCGCCATTAAAAATGCCTGGATATATTTTTATTTTTATTTTTATGGTCGTTGCTATTGTTGTTATTCCTTCCCGGTGGGAAATGGTGGAAATCTGGTCCGAGGGCCCAATGCATGAACTCAGAAATAATATTAATTTTATTTATGCTGTTATTTGCAGGAGAAAGGTTCCATTTCCAACTGGGAACTGGTGGCTTTATTATTATTTTTATTGTCAGAGTACAACATGTGTACAATGAGATTGGCTGAGCCTCCTTCGTGCACCCCCTCCCTCATACACAACTCACAGTGAGGATAGAAATCCCTAACCCAGTCCCAATCTTATTACACTATGTGACCTGGTTGCACAACGCGCCGGCCTCGCAAGTCTATCGCACTATGTTGACATGAAGTTATTTTCCATTCAGAAGTCTCACAGCCCAGGGGTAGAAACTGTTCTTCAGCCTGTTGGTGTGGCTGGCTATGCTTCTATATCTCCTACTCCCGTGATGACGAACCTATGGCACGCATGCCACAGGTGGCACGCAGAGCCATTTGTACCGGCACACAAGCTGCAGGCAAACTTATCTCACTGCGCATGTGCGTGCCTCGAGGAAGGCTTCTGCAGGATTCTGCAAGCTTTGTAGGCTGAAATCTAGCCCCGTTTTGTCACTTCCTGGTATTCACACGTGCGTAGGGGACATGGGGCGCATTGCCTTTTGGGTGCTGGCACATGAGTGCGAGTGTGTAAGCACGCACACAATTTTGGGCACAGGAAGCCAAAAAGGTTAGCCACCACTGTCCTACCCAATGGTAGGAGAGTGAAGAAGTGCTGACCAGGGTGTGAGTCATCTGAGAATTTTCCTCACTCTTCTAAGGCAGCAAACCCTAGCAAGGTCATCTAGCGGTATCAGGAACAACCCACAATGTTTTGTGCTGTGTTCACCACCCTCTGTAATGTCTTTCTATCCATGGCTGTCAAGCCAGCATACTACACCGTAATGCAACATGTGAGGACACTTTCTATTGTGGACCGGTAAAAGGAGGTCATCAGTCATTATTCCACCTTTTTATTTTGCAAGACCCTAAGGAAATGGAGTCTCTGTTGGGCCTTTCTGGCTACCTGGGTTGTGTTGATTTTCCAGCTAAGATCTTTGCTGAGGTAGACTCCCAGGAATTTAAAGGAGGAAACTCTCCACACAGCCTGCCTCGATGTAAAGTGGGGCGGGTTCCTCTCTCTTCTTCCGGAAGTCTAACACTTAAGAAGGTGGATGCATTGTTTGCAACATCTAATGCTCTCTCCGAGTCCTTTGGTCAACAACCACAATAATAACAACAGCAATAACAATAATAAACAATAGTAACAGCAACAGCATAATAGCAGAGAAAGAAGTGGAGAAGATAACAAAATACAAAGACCTGCAGATCGAAATAGAATGATTGTGGCAAAAGAAAGCAAGGGAAGTTCCAATAGTCACAACAACTTGGGTGCGATCCCCAAACTGTACACCATTGGCACTGACAACAATCACCATTAGTCAATTGCAAAAAGCAGCATTGCTTGGAATACCTTCTATCCTACAAGAATAACTTTTAACACCATCAAAGAACAACAAGTCCTTGGGAAGCCCTCGAGAGGTGCTTCCAAATGCCAAAATGCCAAATCCGGTCTAAACATCCGGCTGACTGTGCAATGAATCATGACGTTTCTAATTGTAGAATTTTATTGTTTACTTAAATGGTTTGATGATGTGGAATAGTTTGCCTTCAGAAGTTGTGGGTGCTCCAAGAATAGACTGGACAGCCATTTCTCTGAAATGGTATAGGATCTGCCTGAGCAAAGGGTTGGACTAGAACAGTGGTCACCAACCAGAGACCACTGGTGGTCCATGAGAAAAGATTGTGGTCCATAGAGAAATGCCCCCCCCCCCACCATTCCCAATTAATCCAGGCTGCGCTGGAACACAAGGCTGTGCCGTCCACCTAGCCTGCCCACCCACTGGCCCCCACCCTTCGGCCAAGCACAAACCTTACCTTGAGTAGAGTCATGCGAGCTGGAACTGGAAGGTAAGACCAATGGCGGGGGAGGGAAATCCACCCCAAGGTGGCTTGCTGTCGTTGGTCCCATATTCCAGAGCTGCAGTAGTCACAAGACTGGCCCTTTGGTCACCCCGGAGCAGCTCCTCCAGTCCATGGCAGGCCGGTGCACCAGGGTGGAGGAGCAGCTGCTCCGGGATGACCAAAGGGCCAGTCCTGTGACTACTGCAGCTCTGGAATATGGAACCGACTTTCCCATCAATGTCAGCAAGCCACTGTCAGTCAAAATGCATATTAGTGGTCCACAGGATTTAAAATTATGAGGTTGGTGTCCCTGAGGTATTAAAGGTTGGCAACCCCTGGACTAGAAGACATCCAAGTTCCTTCCAACTCTGTTATTCTGTATTTTTGTAATAAAAGCAAACTTTATTGAATATACAATTAAAATAAACGAACAAACACATACACAACATAGAAAAACAAAGAGAACAAAAAAAAATGTCCATTATTGACAGTTTGTGGTTCCTTATTTGTTATCATTATTGATGTCATATTTACAATTAAATCTTAATGCGAGTATATAGTTACTACCGATGTAGCTTAATCTCCTTTACAGTTTAATAATGTTTGCTATTATATTATCTACCTTTGTTCTATCCAATTGTACCAACATTCCCAACTCTTGTAATATTCTGATGATTCTTTATATTTAAGTGCTAGGGTCAATTTATCCATTTCTGCACAGCTTACTATTTTCTGAATCGTCATTTCCTCTGTTGGAATATAGGCTTGTTTCCAACATTGTACAAAAGCTAATTTAGCTGCAGTAAGTATGTGTAATATTATATATTTAGCTTTTTTTGGAAGTTGTCTATTGAATGTTATTCTGTATTTTCATTGTACACCTTTCAGGATCACGCTTTGTGAGAAGATTGGCGTATATATAAAACGATAAATAAAAACAATGAGGTAAAAATAGCACACTTAATTCTCAAGCTGCAACCAAATGTGCTTTATAGATTTTCAGGCCTTACCCCACCAAAGTCAACATGTCTGCTCTAGCAGGAAAAGTGCACCCATGCAATCTATAAATCTCTTGGTTAAGGGTTAATGTCTTTACAATCGTGTTTCAGAGGTTAATCTCAAGTTATGACCATATTGGAACCTACCCATCGTAGACGTAATGTCAAGCCTGAATTTAGTTTGGTGGTGGAATTGTATGAATTCGGTTTGACACACTTGAGAAATGGATTGCATTATTTGGAACCTGAAGTGTAACTTGTGACAGGTTTTAAAGTGTCTGTGACTAACCTGATTTTACAACTTAACCTGTCCTGTGGACGGAATATCTGAATGGCCACTGTATAAATATTACGAGATTGGAAAAAAAAAAAGAACATAAAAGTGATTAACATCTAAGTTACCCTGAGTTCTTGGAACTGCTGAAAGGACTGTACCATAGACTGGAGATAGAAGGGGTCGTATCCCTCCCCCTCAGTTGAGAGGACTTTCAGCAGTTCCAAGAAGGCTCCACACCCATTTGCATCACTCAGGTGACCCTGAGGACACAAACAAACCTCCAAGTGCCTCAACGACTCCCTAAAAGGATGCAAATGACCATCTGTCTGCAAGGAATATAAATCTTCCATTCCCCACCATCCAGTCAGGACTGAAGAAGCTTCTTTGGAGGAGAAGCGAATCGTCTTTAAAAAAAACAAAACACCAAAAACAAGAAAGTCCAGTTGTCTCTTGAAAAAAGCACCTTTGGACAACTATGACTGAGAAACTCCACAGACACTGAGTATATCTCAGCCATGGCAACTTGAGGACCTGTGGACTTCAACTCCCAGAATTCCCCAGCTATCAAGTTTTGTTTGGAAATAAAGTGGAACAGTTGGGATGAACAATGGAGAAACAAATGTTTTATTGTAATTTTTTTTCTTCCTTCATTACGATCAACAGAGCTTGGCAAGCCACAACTTTGCTGTACTGCTGACATACCCACGATTATAATATTCCGACTTGGCACTTAACACATCATATTGATACTAAGACACTTTCCTCCCCTGTATGGCGCCTCTGCCCAATTAAACCAGTGATTGCTGCAAGCACACCAGCTCTATGCAATCAAAATCCATCATTTCCATTCCGGCTGGGTGAAGAGGTGAGGAATTATTATATTTTTAAAAAATAATAATCGTAAAACCGAGAATCGCAGAACCAGTTCAGGTCGCCAAGTCTATTGTATAACGGCCTTTAGGATCCCTCGAAGAACCTTGTAATTCATCAACTGCTGGTTCTCCTTCGGTGGGAAACACGCACCACGTTCTGTCACGTAGGCGTAAGGAAAACGAAGGACCCACAGCCCATCGGGGGGCAGAGTTATCTCTTGCTTCTCTGGGTAAAATATAGGGCAAGGAGGAGGCCCTGGCTGTACCTGGATGAGAGGAGAAAGAAGCAACTTAATTTTCGGTTTTGCATAAAGCACATTAAATGTAAATTAGTTCCATACCTAGAGTACTGCATCCTGTTTTGGTCACCACACTATAAAAAAAGATGTTGAGATTCTGGAAAGAGTGTACAGAAGAGCAACCAGGATGATGAGGGCACTGGAGGCTAAAACATACGATGAATGGTACTGGGCTTGGCTAGTCTAGGGAAGAGAAGGACCAGGGGAGATATGATGGCAGTCTTCCAATATTTGAG